GTCCATCCACCCACCTCCCACCCATCCATGCATCTGTCTGTCCATCCACCCACCTACCCATCCATCTGTGTATCCATGCACCCACCTACCTACCCACCCACCCATCCACCCACCCTGCCCCTCCCCAGGTAAGTGCCCCCACCACCCCAGCCTATCCCGGGGGCCAGTCAGGCCTGACTCCCTCCCCCTGGCAGGGCGCCATCGTGGAGAAGCGCATCCTGGCCAAGGTGCATAGCCGCTTTGTGGTGACGCTGGCCTACGCCTTCCAGACCAAGACAGACCTCTGCCTCGTCATGACCCTCATGAATGGTGGCGACCTCCGGTGAGGCCCCGTCCCCATGGCAGCCCTTCCCCCAATCAGTAGCTTAGTGTGTGTGGGTCTATCCCAGGATAAAGTCCCTGCTCCAGCTCTGGGGTTCAATGTATATGGATTTAACCTGGGATAAAGTCCCCTCCTCTGCTCTAGGGTTTAGTGTGTCTGGTTTTATCCCAGGATAAAGCCCCCACCCTGGCTGTGTGGTTCAATGTGTCCAGGTTTATCCCAGAATAAAATTCTCTCCCCTGCTTTGGGGTTCAATCTGTCTGGGTTTATCCAGGGATAAGGTCCTCTCCCCTGCTCTGGGGTTCAATTTGTTTGGGTTTATCCAGGGATAAAGTCCTCTCCCCTAGGGTTCAATCTGTCTGTGTTTGTCCCAAGATAAAGTCTCTCTCCTGGCTCTGGAGTTGAATGCATCTGGATTTAACCAGGGATAAAGGTTCCTTTCCCCACTCTGGGGTTTAATGTGTTTGGATTTATCCCAGGATAATCACCTCCCCAATCCCAGGTTCAATGTGTCTGGATTTATTCTGGGTTAAAGTCTTCCCCCTCCCCCAGTATACAGTTCAATATGTCTGGATTTATCCCAGGATGAAGCCCATTGGGGTTCAATGTGTCTGGAGTTATCCTAGGATAATGTCCCAGACCTCTCTCTGGGATACAATATATCTGGATTTATCCTGGGATAGAGACCTCTCTCCCACTCCTAGGTTGACCCCTTAGATTTATCCCAGGACAAAATCTAGGTCCCCTATTCCTTAATAAATCCAGACACATTGAATCCTGTAGCAGGGGAGCAGACTTTATCTGGGGATAAATTCAGACACGATGAACCTAGAGCAGGTGGGGAGGGCTTTATCCCAGGACAAATCCAGACACATTGAACGTGGGACCAGAAGAAGTTACTTTATCCTGTGATAAAGTGAACCCCAAGAAGTAGTGTGGGGACAGAAATGGGAGACCTTATCCCAGGATATATCCAGACACATTGAACCCTGTGCCCAGCCATAATCTAGGTCCATCCCCCACGATGCACCTCTTAGGCAAATGGCTGGGGGAGGGGGACTGGGGCCGCCTGTATTATGGGAAATATCCAACCCTCCCCCCTGTTCTGGAGCTGCCCCTTTCCCCCCTATGCCCAAAGAACCTCTGTCCTCCTGGGGGGAGGAGGGGACTAAACCCCAAATCTCAGGTCATGTGACCCCCAAAACCAGTTCTATGGTCTACATGACCCCAAAACCAGTCCTGTGGTCTACGTGACCCCCAAACTGAGGTTTCAGCTTCCCCTAAAACCCCAACCACCTGCCCCTTCTCCATACCATGGTCTATCCCACCCTTGGTGTCAACGTAGCCAACTCTGGGGATGCTGGTGGGCATGGGGTATGCCCTTCTGGTTGCTGTGGAGATGCCAGGCCAAGGAGTGGGCTATTGGCTGCCATTGAGATGCCAGGCCATGCGAATGGACCATTTTGGTCTCCATGAAGACACCAGGCCATGGGGGTAGGCCCTTCTAGTCACCATGGAGATACCAGGCCATGGGGATGCCAGGCCATGGGGCATGGGGGAGATGCCAGGCCATGGAGTAGGCCCTTCTAGTCACCATGGAGATGTCAGGCCATGGCCATAGAAATGTCAGGCCATGGGGATACCAGGTCATGGGGCATAAGGGAGATGCAAGGCCAATTCTAGTCACTGTGGAGACACCAAGCCATGGCAGAAGGCCTTTTTGGTCTCCAAGGAGACACCAGGCCATGGGGGTAGTGATGCCCAGGCTGGCTTGGCCCACTCAGTTGCCATAGCAACATCTTCCCCAGCTCAGGCCATGGGGTCATCCTGGAGATGGTTCCCCACAACCCCCTAACTTGAGTCACATGACCCTCTGCCCCCTGCAACTAGGTACCACATGTACAACGTGGATGAGAAGAACCCGGGCTTCCCGGAGCCACGCACCATCTTCTACACAGCCCAGATCATCTGCGGCCTGGAACACCTCCACCAGAGCCGCATCATCTACCGCGACCTCAAGCCCGAGAATGTGCTGCTCGATGACGCCGGTGCGGGCCCTGGGGGGCCAGGGAGAGAGCTCCCTCACCCCAGAGCTGGGAGAGAACCCAGGCTCCGGGATGCCCAAGTCCCCCTGGCCCTACCCAGAGTGGGGAGATCCCAGGGTGGGGGGTGAAGTGGGGGGGTGACCCCCAGCTCCTCTGAGGCCTGTTTCTACCCTCTCCCCCAGGCCACGTGCGCCTCTCTGACATGGGGCTGGCTGTGGAACTGCCCGAGGGGCAAGTGAAAACCAAGGGGTACGCGGGGACCCCAGGTAAGTGGGGGTGGGAATGGGGGTGGGGGTACCCCAACCTGAACCCCCTGTGCCCCCTTCCATCTTCCTGGCCCCCTTTCTCCCCATCTAAATCCCCCTTCAGCCCCCTACAGACCCCACACTTCCGTCTCCCCAGCTTGGACACCACCTTGACCCCCATCCTTTCCGGTGGGTCCTGACCCTGCTGCCAATCTCTGCACAGGGTTCATGGCACCGGAGCTGCTGCGGCAGGAGGAGTATGACTGGAGCGTGGACTACTTCACGTTGGGCGTCACCCTCTATGAGATGATCGAGGCCAAGGGGCCCTTTCGGACCCGGGGGGAAAAGGTACGGAGAGATCTGCCTCCTGCCCTAAGCCCCTCTGCCTGGTGTCACCATGGTCACCAAGGAGGTAGCAAGCCAAGGAGTAGGCCCATCTGGTCACCATGGAAATAGTAGGCCAAGGGGTAGGTCCACCATCATAGAGACATTAGGTCATGGGGTAGGCCCACCTGATCACTATGGAGATATTAGGCCATGGGATCCCTGCCTCCCCTCCACCCCCATAGTGACACCAAGGCAGGACTGACTGACATGGTTGCCCTAGTGATGCCATGCCTAACTTGGCCCACGTGGTCATCATGCAGATGACAGGCCCATCCTGGTTGCCATGGCAATGCCAAGCCTGCCTTGGCTCACTTGGTCACCATGGTGATGCCTTGGCCCGCACACTTGCCATAGTGACTCTAGGGAAGGTTCAGCCAGTGTGGGCACCATGGAGATGGTAGTCTTATCCAGCTACTGTGGCAACACCATACCTAGCCCACCCTACCTGGTTACCAGGGAGATGCCATACCCACCTTGGCCTATTGTAGTGCCAGCCCTGCCTGCTTACCATGGGGATGCCATACCCAGCTCAGCAGTTCATGGAGGTACCAAGCCCGCTCAGTTACTGTACTACTCAGATACCATCCCAGCTCAACACCAGGCTCAGCTAGTTACTATGGTGAGGCTAGGCTAGCCTCGGCTCACGTGGTTGCCCTGGCAACACCACAGCAGGCTCAGCCTATTTGGGCACCATGGAGGCTCCAGACTTATCTGGTTGCCGTGGTGACATCAAACCAGGGCCTATATCCCCCTTGTTGCCATGGTGATGCCACACCAGAGTCTCAACCCACCCAGTCGCCATAGTGATGCTGGGCCAGGGCCTTGGCCCTGCCTGGTCACCATGGCAACATCAGGCCAGGGCCTACACCGTGCTGGGTTGCCATGGTGACACAGGACCAGGGTCTATGTCCACCTGGTTGCTGTGGTGATGCCAAATCAGGGCCTACACCCCACGTGGTCACCATGGTGACACCAAGCCAGGGTGGGTTGGCACAGCAGCACCAGGCCAGGGCCTGGGCCCACCTGGTCACCGCAGCAATGCCCCTGATGGTGCTGCCCGCGGCAGGTGGAGAACAAGGAGGTGACACGGCGCATCCTGAATGACCCCGTGAGCTACTCGGAGAAGTTCAGCCCCGAGTGCCAGGCGACGTGTGAGGGGCTGCTAGTGAAGGACCCCACTGGGCGCCTTGGCTTCAAGGACAACAGCTGCGCTGAGCTCAAGGCCCAGCCTCTCTTCCGCACTGTCAACTGGGAGCGTCTGGCGGCAGGTAACGGCCCCCTTGCCCCATGTCGGTGGGGCCCACAGGGTTGCCATGGCAATACTGAACCATGGAGTTGGCCCATGTGGTCACCATGGTGACACCAAGCAATGGGGGAGGCCCCCCTGGTCACCACAGTGATGCCAGACCATGGAGTAGGTCCACGTGATTACTATAGTGACACCAGGCCACAGGGGAGACCCCCCTGGTCACAATGGTGATGCCCAGCCAAGCATGCCCAGCCCAGCCATGGCAACACCAGACCATGAGGCAGGCCCCCCTGGTCACCATGGACATCAAGTCATGGGGACAACAGGCCTTTGGACAGGCTCCCCTGATTGCCATAGTGATGCCAGGCCATGGAGTAGGCCCCCTTGGTTGCTATGGTGAGGCCAGGCAATGGGCTAGGCCCCACTGGTCACCATGATGATACTGCACCATGGAGTAAGCCTCACTGGTTGCCATGGTGACACCCAACCATGGGCTAGACCCTGCTGGTCACTATGGTGACACCAAGCCAAGCCCCGCCCCCCTGCCCCACCCCCCAGCTGTGCCCCAAACACTGCCTGGCACCTCCTGCAGGCCTGTTGGCACCCCCGTTTGTGCCCGACCCTCGCATGGTCTACGCCAAGGACATCGACGATGTGGGCGCCTTCTCCACCGTGAAGGGCGTGGTGCTGGACGAGACCGACCGGGTCTTCTACGAGGACTTCGCCTCTGGCACCGTGCCCGTGTCGTGGCAGGAGGAGATGCTCGAGACAGGCGTCTTCGGCGAGCTTAACGTCTGGGGGCCCCCCGGCACCCTGCCCCCTGATCTGGATCACAATGTCAGCCCTGATGCCGGGTCTGCCAAGTCAGGGGCCTGCTGCCTTCTCTGAGACCACCCCCCACCCCGCCTTCTCAGGAAGGCCTAGAGGGACGGGGAGGGAACCCAGCCATCTGGGCTCCACACCCCCCAACCCTCCCCCCGATCCATTTCCGCAGAATCCAGGTGTCCGGGTTTTCTCCCCAGAGTGGGGGGACAGCCCCCCACATCTGCCCTTCCCAGAGCAGGGAGGGAACCCAGGTTTCCCAGCTCCCCCCCTGCAGAGCCCACACCCCATCCCCAGGGAGAGGAAAGAACCCAGGTTTCCAGGCTCCCATCACCCCCTGCTCTGACCCCCAGCCCTGACTCCCCTCCTGGAACTGGGAGCCCAGACACCTGGGTCCTCTCCCTGGCTGTGGAGGAGGATAGCAGGGGACTCTTGGGTCCTTTCCTTGCCTGGGGGTGCTGGCGGGTTATAGCAGGGGTTGCTGGGATCCCGGATGCCCGGGTTCTTTCCCCATAACTCTAGCAGGGGTTGTTTGGAGTGGGGGCCCGGACACCACGGTCCTACCCCCGGGCAGGTGAGGCAGAGGCTCCCAGCTCTAGGCCATGTTCATCCTATTTACTCGTCAGAAGTCAAACAACTTACTAGCATTTTACACCCCTTAACTCCACCCCTTCCCCTCCCAGCACCTGCCCAGGGAGACCCTGGACCCTCAGGGACCAGAATAGAACCCAGGCATCCTGCTCCCCTGTCCACCCTACCTCTCCCTCCAGGGGTACCCCAACTGCTGTAGTTCACCCCCCCCCATCACCCACAGCGCTGTAGGCGATTTTGTATAAAAGAATACAATTGGGTTGTGATCACTGCTGTCGCCTCCGGCTGTTATTTCCTCTGCCTGTAGCTTGTCCCTTGGGGAGGGGTTGGGTGGGGGGTGACACACATTGTCACCCAGGCCCAGTGTCCTGGGTCTTTAAGTCACACTAGCAGCTGTTGAGAGCTACAGCCACCCATCATGTGGCTTGTGAATATTCTCATAGCTACAGTCATAATTGCACCGTCACAGGCTTGTGGATATACCCGCAGCTATAGTCACTCATGATGATGATGTCCTGGTCTACCATGTGCTACAGTTGCCACTGTCTAGCTGTAGGCCCATACAGTTATAGTCGTCAGTCATGGCCCCTCCCAAAGGCAGTTACTGAGAGCTGGTATAATAGTTGTTCATTATTACACCAGCTCTCAGCTTCTCACAGGTGGCTGTCTCCTGGAGTGGCTGTGACCATAAACAAGTACATGACAGTAGAACACAGCTGGAGTCACCCTCAGTTGCAGCTACAACCTCAGCTGATCACAATATGATGCACAGTTGCAATGCTCCAAGACACAACTGGACACCCAGTCTCACCCCCAGCGACAACCGGACACAATAACAACCCCTTCCAGATGCAGACAGACATACAGTTACATCCCGTTACAACCAGATGTGCAGTCAGAGCCATCCTCAGCTACAGCCACATGGAACTGCAACTGCTCCTTTTCACAGCCAAACACACAGTCACCCCCAACTACATCCGGATGCACAGTCGGAATCACCCCCAGTTACAGCTACAACCAGTGCAAGACACTGTCATTCCCAGCTACAGCCTGAGACACAGGCACAGCTAAAACCATTGCAGCTGCTCCTGGTCAGAACCACTCCCAGTCACACATAGTCACAATCAAATGCACAGTTACAACCAACCCTAGGTACAGCCTGTGGTAGTCACAAACTAACACATTCACAACTGCTCCAGATCACACAGTACCTTCCAGATACAGCCTGAGACACAGTCATAACCACTCCTGGTTACAGCCGGTGACAGTCAAAACTACCCCAGGACACAGCCTGAGACACAAACACAGTCATGCACAGTTACAGCCTGAAACACAGGCATGACCTGACACCGTCACAAGTCCC